TAAGATTACTCTCATTACTCTTATGTGTGTTTCGTGTCCATGTGTGGACATGTGCAGGTAGTTGTGATCACAGGGGCCCCAGGCTTTTGATTTCCATGGATCTGAGGCTTAGGACTTCCATGGAGCTGGAATAACAGGTGTTTTGTAAGCCATCTGATGTGGATGCTGGGAACCAAACCCAGGTCCTCTACAAGGACAGCATATGCTTTTCATCACTGAGCCACCTCTCCAGTCCCATAAAGTGCTCTAGAGACTGTAACTTCCAAAGGTGTAGATAATCATCCCAGGCTAAGTACTGTTCTCCCCAATATATCACACCTTAAAAACAGAGATCTGGCATATTCCATGTCTACAAAGATTCACAGTGCTTGGCTTAGTCATAAAATGCCAATCAAACCAAGAAGGGAGAGTGAAGTCCAGATTAAAACTGACCAGAAACGATACAGAAAATTAATAAACAATTACAGGAGATACATAAAGTTACCAATATGTTCAAAAAAAAAAAAAGAAAGAAAAAAGAAAAGAAAGGTGGGAGATAGAGCTCAGGGGCTAAAGACAGACCTGAATTGTATGCATAGCACCAGCTCACAGCCACCTGTTACTCCAGTTCCAAGGGGGAATCTGATGCCACCTTCTGGTATCCATGGGTACTGCATGCATGAGCATTTTATACACACACACACACACACACACACACACACACACACAGACACACACTAAAAATAAAAATGAAACTGAGGACTGTCAACTATTCAGTGCAGAGGTAGGCTGACAACCTGGAACTGGTATTACTGAAAGCTGCCTCTGATGTGGATCGCATTCAATACAGGCTGGGATGCGAAATCTACACTAACCATCCTGATTCAGCAGGTGCAATTTTAAAGGCATTATCAGTAGCAAAGTCTTGATGTCAAGCTATTCACGCACCTTTTAAAACAGTTTTTGATGAGCAAAAACCACATATGAGCAAGAGCAAGAGCCACAAATGCACTACACTGAGCAAGACAATGACCAGAATGTGAGAGCTACAAAAGCAAACGGACCTGGGGCAAGCTCTCCTGATAAGGAAGAGGATGCTGTGACGCTGGACCTGGAGCGAGCTCTACTGACTAGGAAGAGGAAGCCATGACAAAGCAATAAAATCTCACAGGCCAGACTTACAAAGAAATTAAATTCTAAGGGAGAACTCTGGTGAATAAAAGATCCATTGCAAAGAGACTGATCAAACTGTCTTGTTTATTCTTGATGCCAAGAGGTGGGGGACTGGTAAGGGAGATGGGGCTTTTCCTTGAGTGCAGAATTGTGATGCTTTTCATATGAAAGGAAAATAAAAAGGGCAGAAACCACATCACTAGAAGCCAGCCAAAAGGATGGAACGGGAGCGAAGGGAATTCAAACACTTTATACCCACAGTTAATTTTGCAATTTCAGGTAATAAAATTTCTTAATACTTTATCTACTTTCTTTTTGTATCATTGGGATAATTTTAGATGCTTTAGGATTTCATGAAAGAATAGTATTTGCATTTCTATCACTGTATGAATGGGACAAATATTTGCATATTATAGGTAGTCAAGTTTTGTGTGGCTGTTGGGGGTTGTTTCTGAGACAAGATTTCACCATGTAGCTGTGGATGACCTAGAACTCAATATGTAAACCAGGATAGTCCCTAACCTTAGAAGCCTGACAAGCTTCAGTCTCCCAAGAGCTGGGATTAAAAGCATGTGCCACTATACCTGGCATTTTTGGTTTTTCATTTTTAATTTTCGGAGATAGGGTCTCATGTACCCCAGACTGACCTCAGAATTGCTCTTAGCAAGGATAACCTTTTACTTTGCTACCTCTGAGTGCTGGGATTACCATTGTGAGCCACCATGTCTGGTTTACAATGATAGGGCTCTAACCAAAGCTTTGTGTACACTGGCTAGCACTGAGCCGAGCCACACCCCCAGTCCTATATTTTATTTTTTAAAAATGTTCATTACAGCCAGGTGGTGCTGGCACACACCTTTAATCCCAGCACTCAGGAGGCAGAGGCAGGAGGATCTCTGTGAGTTCAAGAACAGCCTGGTCTACAAGAACTAGTTCCAGGACAGCTAGGGCTGTAACACAGAGAAACCCTGTCTTGGAAAAAAGAAAAGAAAAAAAATCTTCACTACAGATACCACATTTTTAGTTGTTTGTATATGCTATGCTGTATTTCACAAAACCTAACTCAGATAACTAACAGGCTGTTTTATGGAAACCTCCCTATTTTGTTTTCCTTATTCCCATTGCTGTCTGATAGCACACATTGCAAGCTTGTTTTCAAATGTTTTAGACTGACTGACCATCTGGTGTTTCAATACCTTCAATTCTTTTCAAGCCATATATATATATATATATATATATATATATATATATATATATATTTAAACAAAAGGAGTTGTTCTGGCCTATGGCTGGACAGAATATAGGTCAGCGGGAGAATAGAAACTGAAGGGAAACAGAAGGCAGAGACAGGCAGATGCCATATAGCTGTCAAAGGAACATGTAGAAAATGAGGTTACACCACAGCCACGCGGCAATACAGAGACTAATAGAAATGGTTAATTTAAGAGGTAAGAGGTAACTAGGAATATGTCTAAACCATTGGCCAAACAGTGTTGTAATTAATATAGTTTTCTGTTATTATTTATTTGGGTCTAAGTGGCTGGGAAAAAAACAGGCAGTCTCCATTTACAGAGGCAGGAAGATCTCTTGAGTTTGGGGCTAGCCTGGAACAGAGCAAATTCTAGGATGGTCAGAGTTACACAAAGAAACCTTGTCTAAAAAAATAAATTTATCTAGGGAACATGAATGAAAAATGCCCAGTTCTGGTTGGTCAGGAGGCAGAGATGGAGGACCTCTGGGAAAGCCGTGTAGCTAAGGCTAGCCAAATCTGTAAACTCTTGAGTTCAGCAAATAACCTTGTCTTAGTGAAATAAAAGTGGAAATTAACTAAGAAAGACAGTATCAACTTCAGGTCTACACACATGCACACATACATTTTTTTTAAATAAAGTCAAATTAAAGAGGCTTGAACTGATTGAAGATGAAATATATTGAACATCAGATTCTGTAACTATGTGGACTGTTCAATATCAAATGTTTAAATCAACAAATGCACCAATTTTAATAAATGACTGCCTAGCACTACAATTGTAGCAGCACCAAATATAAGCAAGGTATGGATTGCATGCCGAGTACTAAACAAAACCTGATTGCCTTTACAGGAAGCAACAAATAGTTGATTATTGTGAAAACAGGTCATTAAGGGTAAGAAATCACTCAGCCGACAGTTTTCTTTAAAAGATTTATTTTTAATTGTGTGTGGGTATGTGTGAGTACCCATGGATGCATCAAATCCCCTAGAGCTGGAGTTACAGTGGGTGCTGGAAACTGAACTTGCGTCCTCCAGAAAAAGCATCAAGAACTCTTAGCTGCCAAACCATCTCTCCAGCTCCTCATCCTGAATTTAAAAACTGAATCTAGGAGCTGTATAGATGGCTCGGCAACTAAGAACACTGGCTGTGCAAGCATCAAGACTGGGTTCAAATCTCCAGCATGCAGGTAGGAAGCTGAGCATAACTACACACACATCTGTGATCACAGTGCTGTGGTACGGTGGAAACAGGAAGACTTTTGGGGCTTGCTGACAAGCCAGCTGAGCCTATTTCGTGAGTTCCTGACAAATGAAAGGCCCTGTCTTACAATCCCAAGATGGAGGGCTGGATTGCTTAGTGGTAAAAAAAAAAAATACTGTTCTAGCAGAAGACCCACATGCAATTTCAAACCTATATGGTAGCTTGAAATTATTTATGACCCCAGTTCCAGGGAAGTCAACATCTTCTGACCTCCAGAGGAGCCAGGCACTCACAAGGACATACATAAAGGCAGGAAAAACATATATACACCCACAAAAATAAATTTAAAAACAAATTTTTGTTCAACAAGATGGGGACATCAATATGGCTCAGCAGTAAAGGTGTCTACCTCCAACTAAGCCTGAATGACCTGAGTTCGAGCCTCAAGACCCACATGGTGGAAGGAGAGAACCAACTTCTTTAAGATGTCTACACACACACACACACACCAAACAAAATAAGTAAATGTATTTTTTATTTTAAAAAAAAAAAAAGATGGCCACCTGAGAAACAACAGCCAAGGTTGTCCTCTGGTGTACGTGTACACACATTACTATTTTTATTGTTATTATTATTCATTCAGAGAAACATACACACTGTTGTGTTTATTATATAAAACCCTGGTCCCTGCCTAGTTTTGAAATACACGTGTCACACAGAGGTCCAGTTAGCCATTCTCCCATATCAGAAGCCTGCCATTGGTCTTGGGTGGCAAGGAGCCACCAGCATTGCCTAATCTGTTTGAGATCTGAAATGGAAAAAGCTGACTTTGTACACAGAGTTCAGCATTGTTTACTGTGGGCATCTCAGATAAAGTTTACACTTGCTTCACATGAACTTGTGGACACACTTAAAAAGATAGGAATGGGGTTTGCTGATTAGAAATTCAGTAAGAGCTGGAGAGGTTGCTCAGTGGTTAAGAGCACTTGCTGCTCTTGTAGAGGACCTGGGTTCAGTTCCCAGCACCCATACAGTCTGTAACACTATCTGGTGTATTCTTCTGGCTTCCATGGGCATCAGACATGCACGCAGTGCACATACATACATGCAAAGCACTCATACACATAAAAATAATAATGGGGAAGGGGAGGATGGAGAGACTGCTAGATGGAGGAGTTACTTTCATTTAATAAAGAAACTGCCTTGGCCCATTTGATAGGCCAACCCTTAGGTGGGTGGAGTAAACAGAACAGAATGCTGGGAGAAAGAAGCCGAGTCAGGCAGTCACCATGATTCTCCCACTCTAGACAGACGCAGGTTAAGATCTTCCCTGGTAAGCCACCTCGTAGGCTACACAGATTATTAGAAATGGGTTAGATCAATATGTAAGAGCTAGTCAATAAGAGGCTAGAACTAATGGGCCAAACAGTGTTTAAATGAATACAGTTTCCGTGTAATTATTTCGGGTATAAAGCTAGCCGTGCGGGCGGCTGGGTGCCAGGAACGTAGCCCGCTGCTCCATATCTTCAACAACTGCTCAGTAGTTAAGAATACTGTCTGCTTTTCCAGGGGACCCAGGTTGAATTCCAAGCATCTATATGGTGGCTCACAACCATCTGTCCTAGTACACGGGGAATCTAAGTGTACCAGGTACACACATGGTACAGACACACATGCAGAGAAAACACTCATCTGCACAAAATTAATCTAAAAATGTAAATTTGATGGTACTGATGAAACAGGTTTTAGATAAAGGTACTTGCTACCAAGTCTGACAACTGGAGTCTCATTCATTAGATTCACAGTAAAATGAAAGAACCAACTCTGTCCTGTGCAGCTGCTGTGGAATGTGTGCCTGCACACACGGTTGTGTAGCAATTATCTCCAAGCTGGAACATGCCATCTCAGAGAGAAACTTGTTGAGACTCAACTGGTTAAAACTCAGCAACTCACTAGTCTCAGGAAGTCTCTGAAATGGGTCAGATTCACAAAGCCCTCCCTCCTCAAGCTTCCAGAATCAGTTTAAATTATGCAGAGTCTGTCAAGCTGCCTGCAAGTCCTGCAGTGATCCCTCATCCATTCTGAGTTGGGCTTCAGGGATGTACCTGCTCCTGTAGGTCACCCCTCCCCTATATTATGGAAAACCACAATAAACTCATTTGTTTGCTAGGTTGGACCTTGGTGGTATTGGTACTCCGGTTTGATGCTCGTTCCCTATCTGAGGTAGGTAGACATCAGTTTACACTGTCCTAGGAATAGAATCACAGCACACACACACTGTGTCACAGTATACATAGAGACTCACAAATAAAGAATAAAACAAATTAAATGCCGTGAAGTGGTGGCAGGTGTCCTTAGTACCAGCACTTTGGAGGGAGGAAGAGGCAGGCTCTTCCTCTGTGAGTTTGAGGTCAGTCTGATCTACAGAGTTCCAGAACAACCCTGTTTCCAAAACAAAAATATAAAAGTCACGGCTGCCTGCCAAGAAATGGAAAATAAAATCACATGTAACTGTCATTACCATGTATCTTTGTCATATGTATGTATGCACACACACACACACACACATACGTGTGTAGAGACACATGTGCATGTATACATGTTTATCGGGGCCAGGGGCTAACCTTAGGGGCCATTCCTCATGGAACCCACCTTGAGTTTTAAGACCGGGAATCTCACCAGCCTGAATCTCATCTATTAGCTAAGACGGCTGGACAGTAAGCTCCACCAAACTGAGGCTCATATGGGTTTTGAGGAGTGACCCCATCAAGTCCTCATGCTCACACAGCAAATACCCACAGCCCCTAATTACTTTATTTACAATGCAAAATGAGAGTCTCAGTTAAAGGCTATCAGGAGGCACCCTGGGCAAAACTACAGCTTGCAATTATAACAGCACAGTCAACAAGACATTGCCTCAAAAGCCCACAGTCAAAGCCATGGCATGAGGGATACTCATATTACTTAAGTTCTCAAATTTATGAACAGCAAAAAAAAAAAAAAGTCTCAACAGGTAAAGGTGCTTGCCATCAGGCCTGAAAAACAGTGTTCAATTTCCAAAACTCACCAATTCCTGAAAACTGTCCTCTGACCTCTCTACATGTGTGCCATGGCAATTGTGTGTACACGTACGTGCACACACATGTAAAAATAAAATTCGAAGAATTTAACAGCAGGGAAAACCTTTCATGCCAGCAAATTAATACAAGAAAATGTAGTTACATTGCCCTTTTTGCTTACGTATATAGTGTCTGGGTGGTTACATGTGTGCAAGACCAAGGTAGATATTGGGTGTTTCTCTCCCCCCCTTTCTTCATCTTGTATATTGATAAACCCAGACCTAGCTCTTTTAGCTAGTCTGGCTAGCCAGCCTGCTCTCGGGACCTGTCACCAGGTTCCACCTCCCCCAAACTGGAATTACAGATAGGCAGAGCAGCCAAGCCCACTTGGTACTGGGGATCTGAACTCCAGTCCTGATGCTTGCACAGCAAATGTTTTACCTCTAGGATCTCCCCTGCCCCAGGTTGTCACTAAGGAAATGTGTTTTTAATGCCTACAGACAACCCAACTTTGCTGAGCCAGCACATACATGCAAAATGGGGTTCACCTTGCAGCGTGCTTGTTCTGTCAACCTGACAGTCCAAGGGTCTCCTGGGAACTTTCACTTAGCCACAGTTGAGATCAGCTTGACCTGTGATCCTATCTGTGAGGAACTGTCTTGATTGATGTGGGAAGATGCCAACAACTGTGGCCCACACTGTGGTCAGGGGTTCTGAGCCTGTTGAATGAGAAAAGTTGAACACAGCAGGCATAAGCATGCGTGCATCTCTCTGCTTTTTGTTACTTATTTTTTAAGACAGGTTTTCGAGACTGGCTGTCCTGGAACTCACTCTGTAGGCCGGGCTGGCCTCAAATTTAGAGATCTACCTGCCACTTGCTCTTTAAGATGTGTAAAAGAATCTGTGTGTGTGTGTACGTGTGTGTGCGCACACACACGTGCAGTCAGGTACTTACAAAGACCAACAAAGGCCATTGGATCTGTTGGAGCTAGAGTTAGAAATGGTTTTGAGTCACCCAACATGGGAGCTGGGACCCAAATCCTGCTCCTCTGAGGGCAGCTCTCAAGCACTTAGTTACCTCTCCAGCCTTCTCATCTTGACCGAATGATGTGACCAGCAGCTGCTTTCAAGTTTCTGCTGTGACTTCCCCACAGTAACTTACTGCATCCTGCCACTGTGAGCTAAATCCTTTTTCCCCTTAGTTTTTTTTTTTTTTGGGGGGGGGGTGATGGTGGTGGTCAGGTTATATGACCACAGCAATAGAAATGAAACTAGAAGTTGGTATTCACGTTCCTAAATGTCAGCTGACAAGAGTCCAAATGACTGGAGAGGAACATAAGGTGGATGGGAAATGCAACTCAGAGCAAGAAGCTCCAAGTTAAACCCCATCCTGAATCTCAGCACTGAGGAAGCAAAGACAGCCAGATTTCTCTGAGTTGGAGACCAGCCTGGTCTACATAATGAGACCATTATCTTAAAAACACAACGAACAAAAAATCCTCAGACCCAGAGAATTCATGGGCTATCCACAGGCTCTGAAGATATAGTTCATCTGCAAAGTTGAGAATCCTACAAGCTCAGGGATTTCTTAAAACATGTTATTTACATGTATATGTGTCTGTTTGTGGATATGCACTTGTGTGCAGATGCCAGAAGAGGTTGTCCAATCCCTAGGAGCTGGAATTACAGGAGACATTGAGCAATGTGAGTGCTGGGAATCAAACTCAGGTCTTCTTGCAAGAGCAATATGTACTCTTAATGGCTAAATAATCTCTCCAGCCTGTAAGTATTTATTTTTAATTATGTTCATACTCATGAGAGGTCTGTGTATAGGAATCAAGTACCCACAGAAGCTGGAAGACAGAAGCCCACAAGAATGTGTTGGATCCCCTGGAAGGGCAGCTACAGCCTGTTGTGAGCTGCCAGAACCAAACCTGGGTCCTCTGTCAGAGTAGCAACTCTCTTATCCATGGAGCCATCTCTTCAGCTCAAGCTCAAGGATAGTCCCTGTTTGATTCACTGGTGCAACCTAAGATTACAGAAACGCTTCACCACACTGCAGGACCTCAATAAACACAAGATGAACGAGATAAAAACAAAGAGGTCAGCCACCCTGGTGGAGCAGAAGTGGAATTCTACCTACTCCAGAGGATGGAGCTGGAGGGTTCAAGGCTTGCATGGATCACAAAACAATTCCAAGGCAAGCCTGAGCAACTTACATAAAAAATTAACTTCTAAAAAAGGGGAGAGGTAGAGCTGGGGATACAGCTTAGCGGCATGATGCTTGCCTAGCATGTTAGGCTATAGGTTTAATCCCCAACACCACATACACACGCCCCTCACTCTCAGAGGTATTATATATAAGAAAGTGTCATCAAATACAGAGCATTAATACTAGTTTGTCTTTCAGATTAAATTCATCAGGTATTTTCAGGGAAGTTACTAATTATCTTAAAATATGTCCACGTTTATTCAATGATCAGTAGCAAAATATTATTTCCTAGTAGCTGTGGTTACAGTGCAAGGAGTAGTGGGAGGGGGAGACTTTACAGATGAGGGTAGTACGTTCTAGTCCACGACAATAAGGCTGCCAAAGAAAGCTAAATAAACAAGGCTGCATGAGAGAAGTCCCCACCTGAGGTGGAGGACATGTGAGACCTCACACAGGGACAGACCGTAACAGGAGTGTACCAAGGTTATGATGTGGCACTTGCAACAACACGTGCTTTGGGATACTTACAAGCTACTGCTCCGGCTTTGCTCACAAGCTCCAAGAGCTCACTGGTCCCAATCACCATGGCATTCTCTGAGCCAGGAGCACAGTAGGTGCTTAATAAATATTTTCAAATGAAAAATAGAGGGAAGGCAGGCCTGAGCTAAAGATATCGCAGGCAAGACAGAGTTCTCTAAAAATTGAGCTTCAAGGCTGGGCACATACCTCAGTCAGTAGGGTACCCCACCTAGCATGCACAAAATCCTGGGTTTCATCTTCAACATAACATAAGCCAGGTATGGTGGCACATTCCAATAATCCCTGCACTGGGAAGATGGAGGCAGGAGTATCAGAAATTCAAGATCATCTTTAGCTACACAACTAGTCTGAGACCAACTTAAATAATACCTTATCTCAAAATGAAAAAAAATGAGCTTCAAGTTGCCAATATGCAATAAAATTTTGCCCTTACCTCCGAACTTGCTTAGGAGGTGGGTTCCCAACAACCTCCCCCCCAAAAAAACTGAAGCTTAGGATTGTGTTTCCCTACAACAGGTGAAGGAAACTGTGGGCCCTCTGGAAGCTCTCCATACACCAGGCTCTGTCCTCCTCCTGCTTTAGCACATTCTGTTGTCCTTCACTGGGCACTGCCCAGGACACTCAGTACAATGCAAGTCACCCCCGAGGCAGAGCTGGCCCACGATATGTTCACTGCACAGGGGGCTCTTGGCGATGCTGGGTCTTCTGGTGCCTATTGAGGATGGACCTCTGGTTGAAGCTGCGGCCGCAGGCGGGGCAGTGATAGGGCTTCTCACCCGTGTGGATTCTCTGATGCCGCACCAGCCGCTCCCCCTTGCTGAAGCGCTTGCCGCATACCTGGCAGCCATAGGGCTTCTCCCCAGTGTGTGCACGCCGGTGCACTGCCAGGTTGGCATTCCTGCTGAAGCTCTTGCCACACTCGCAGGTGTAGGGCTTCTCCCCAGTGTGTGTCCTGCGATGCACCAGCAGGTGCTGCCTCCGGCTGAAGCCCTTCCAGCAGTCCGCACACTTATAGGGTTTCTCCCCTGTGTGGCTGCGCTGGTGCACCTCCAGGTGATGCCTCTGGCTGAAGGTCTTCCAGCACTCACCGCACACATAGGGCCTCTTGCCCAGGTGGGTCCTCTGATGTTTGGTGAGGTACTCTCTCAGGGTGAAACCTTTCCCGCACTCCACACAGCCAAAGGACTTCTCCTCTTCATGTGTTCGCTGGTGTCTGACAAGATTGGAGCTGCGACTAAAGCCTTTTCCACACTCAGGGCACTGGAAAGGTTTCCAGAAAGAATTGTGGGTGTTAAGGGTGTCTGGCAGGGGGACCCCATGCTGAGGAGCAGGGAGCCCAGGTAAACTGGCTCCAGATCCCCCAGGCTCCTGCTCACAGGCACCCCCTGGTCCAGGAACCTGGATGGCGGTTTCTCCAAATCCATCGGAAGTCAACCCAACAAATGCTCTTTTCAGATCTTCCTGCTGGGGTTTGGCCTCCTTCTCCTTGTTCCCAGCACCTGTGTGGCAAAGGAGGTCAACACTGTGGTGATGCTCCAGCACAGACCCTCCAACTGCTACTTTCCTTCACACCCAGAAATCAGATGTAACCCTGTCTTTCTGTCTCTCTGTCCCTGTTTCTCTGCTAGCTCTAAAGAGCTGCTGTGACCTTAAAGCCTCACCCTCTCCCACTTGCAAATGTGAGCAAGACCAGCTCTTCCACACATAGGCAGACAGACACAAACGCCTGTTGTAACTTTCCACTCTTATCTAAGGTTTTCTGCATGCCAGGAGACAGGTAGGCTAGGTCAGAACTAGGTATGGGCTTCCCACCACCATTCCCCAAACCTACAAAAGAACAAGTTTACTTTTTTGTGGGGATCTGAAAGGAATGAAGAGACCTACAGGCTGCCATCTCTCTTCTCCAGGCCCCCCATGGCTACCTATGCTTTCAGGTTCCAGCATATTATCTAAGGCTGTTTGTAATGTCATTCCTCCTCAGACCTGAAGGCCTGCTCTCCCACTGTGATGCTATTGCCTTGCTAGAAAGAAACATCTGAAAGGAGACTCCTCTCACTTCCTTTTCCACCTTCCTCAAACAATGACCACCCAGGGAACTTCATGCACCACGTCTTCTCCTCCAAATGCATCCTTTCATCTTGGTGGTGGTGATGGTTTGGTTTTCTGGGACAGGATCTCGCTCTGTAACACGTGCTGGCTTTGAACTCATGCAATCCTGAAGGGGGAAATCTTAGGCCTGCATAACCATACCCAGCTTCCTAATATGTGTAGGGTTAAGCCAGCCCCTTTAGGGGGCGGGTTTGCCTTGGGCGAATGCATATGAATAAATCGGGCACGCGGGAGGCCGCTGGCCCTTTTTCTTTCCTACCTCCTATGCTACGCGGGAACCTCGGTTCTGTAAGTTTATTTAAACATTAAAACTGTATATATTCTTTAATTTTTGCCTTGCATTTCTTTACGCTGATACATTTGGCACCCAACATGGGGCTTTGCGGAGACCCGCCCCAAATCGGAGTCTCTTGGGGCCACCGCTCCCAGCGGCGGTCTCCCTGGGCGCGCAGACTATGCCCTTTCAGCCAATCTGACTACGGCTGGGGACACAGCTGAGATTCTGAGTGACTCGATCTTTCCTGGTGCCTGCTAAAAAGTCAAATGGGACGGGAGTAGCACTCCCCAGCCCCACCCTGCCTGATAGTGGCACAAGCGCCTCTGTAACAGCGTGATCAGTCTCTGTTCCCCTCCCACCTCCGCCGGCGCTCAGGTCACATGACGGTGGCCCTGCGAGCCGGCTCAAACATGCCGGTCCCTTTGATTTGTTCACTTTGACGGCTTTCTCTCTGTTCCTTTTCTGGCCCAATTGCTATTAATCAGCCTGGTGTCTGCTCCAATTTTGTTTTTGAGTCATTTATTTCAGACTTAGGCCACGTGGACTCAAATGGACTCTTTCGCCACCACTGGAGGGAACCAGTCATTGCAGATAAAAGAATTTTTTCTTTTATAAATAAAATGTCTGAGAACATGACTGTTTCAAATTTCAACAGCTTTTTTGAATGTACCATATGGGAGATTTTACAAGAGGTGTCTATCACCCCACATCTATGGATATTTCTGGGATTCATAATTTTCCTTAGCACTATATGGTTTGACAATAGAAAAATGATGAAATCTCTTAAGGCAGAGGTTGAACATTTAAAAACTATTAAGAATGACAACAATCTTCTCAAGAATCAGTTTAAAGTTCTCCAGGAAGAAAACAGATCTTTGTTTAACATGACTCGGTTAACTGAGCAAAATTTAAAAAAGGTACAGGCTGATGTTAAGGAGAAATTCATTACTATGGAAGAAGGAACAACTGAATTAGATCGTAAGTTCCAGCAGTCCCTTTCTATAGAAACTAAAACATTAACTGAGAGAATCAAAACTGCTGAATATGACAATTGAATTTTGTCTAAAGCTTATGAAAGATTGGCGGAAAGATTATCAATACAAAAAGGCACAGTTTATGCCATAAAAATTATGTTCAAAGATGACAAATTATCTCTAATGGACAAATTTCATAAGCAATCCTGAAGGGGGAAATCTTAGGCCTGCATAACCATACCCGGCTTCCTAATATGTCCCATTAATGGCTCCTCTTCTTTTCCTTTGATCAACAACCTCAACACCTTTCACGTCCATGAACCCTGAACTCTGACCTTTCTTTACTCCTTACCACCTCCTTGCCCTGATACTGAACTGACTGACAGATTTTAATACCCACCCCCCATTTAAGGTTCTGTTAGTTCAGACTTTTACTTCCTTCAAAAATCTAACTCAGTGGGGCTGGAGAGACAACTCAGTGGTTAAGAGCACTTGTGTAACCAGGGGCTCTGTGTTCAGATCCCAGCAGGCATAAAACAAGCCCAGTGTGGTCTTATACATGCCCGTAACACCACCATTGTAGTGGCAGAGACAGGAAAATCACTAGAACTGTCAGTCTAGCTGAAAAAGTCAAGCTCCAGGTTTAGGGAGAGAGACCCTACTTCAAAGGAGTAAGACAGAGTGACAAAGGGAGAAACCCAACACTCCCTCTTCTTTCCTCTGAGCATGAGCACAGCTATGTACTTACATATACACATGTGCACATATACCACACATACACAAATCTAACTCAGATTTCTATGAAGAGCACAACCTAGAGTTCTCTTCCCCTGGCCTCTTTTACACTGATATAATCAGTTAGCCCTCACTTATGCTACACTTATTAGCACACCCACACACTACGTTCTCTCATCCAGTGCACTCCCTGTTCCAATGGAAAGCCTGCATGCATACATACATACAAAGCCTGCATGCATACATAGGGCCTGCATGCAGGGGGTGTTCAGTAACCATCTGCTGGAGAAGCAGACCAAGCACTTCTCTTCTGCTCCTTTTCTTTCTCTCTAGTGCTCGATGCCCCTTAGTCATGGGCACACTTCTCCAAGACTCCCTATACTATCTGGTCAGCAGCACTATGGCTAGGACAAGACTCTTAAACTGAAGCTTTCAAAACTCCTTTCTTACCTGTGCCAGGCAACAATCTTACCTGGAAGGACCCCACAGTCTTGTGATTCCACGTATTCCCCGAAGCAGTCAATCTGAGCTGGGGCCACGTGCCTCCATTCCTCTTCAGGAAAAGCCAGAGCCATGTCTTTAAAAGGCCCCAGACCCTAAAACAACAAAAGACTGCTATAGATAAAGAGAGAACATTGGAGGCTACAGAGATGGCTCAACCATTAAGAGCACTTGCTCTCCTCTAGAGGACCAGGGTTAAGTTCCTAGTACCTATATAACAACTAATATAACTGCCTGTAACTAACGGTTCCTAGGGATCAGATACCATCTTCTGGACTGAGTGCACCAGGCACACGTGTGATGCACATACATACACATATATGTGCAGGCAAAACATTCATACACCTAAAAAAGATAAAAATAAATTAAGAGAAAAAAGTAAGAACTCTAGAGTTGGTGAAATAACTCAGTGTGTTAAGGTGCTGGCTGCCAAGCAAGATGACCTCAGTTGAGTTCCTAGAAATGAAATGGTGGATGGAAAGAACTGGCTCTAGCAAGCTGTCCTCCGACCTCTACATGAGCACTGTGGCACACCTCCCACAACACATACACTAGATACATTGTCAAAAAAAGGTGGGGTAGTCTACCAGTAGCTTCAAAACCAGGCTCAAGCACAGCAAAGCCAGAAGCAACTGGACCCCGGATGAGTTGGGAGAACTGCCATCTTCCAACAGCGTGACCAACATGTTCAGAACCTGCTACTTTGACCCTGCTTGCCCTCGCCATCTCAGCAACCTCAAGTTTGAGCCTAGAAGCCTGTGTGTTCCCTCAAGGCCCACCTTAAGTTTATGCTTTTTTAAAGAACTGATCAGTAGGTGAAGCCTGATGACCAACAGAAAGGTAGAGAAATGATTACACGGAGCTGTCCTCTGACCTCGACACGCGTAGTGGCATGGACACCCACACATCTATTTTATACAAATGCACACAAGAGGATAAATAATACATTTTAATTTAAAAGAATAAAGCATGTTAAATAAACAAAATGGAGTATGGTACTTAGGAATAAGCTGGTAGAGTGCTTGCCTAGCATGTCCAAAGCCAGGGGCTCCATCCTCAGCATCACACAGTAAGGTGTTTCTGCATGCCCATTATCCCAGTCCTCAGGGTGTGGAAATACAAGGATCGGAAGCATAAAGACATCATCTTCTACTTTTTAAAAAAAAAAAAATTAACGATTTACTTAAAAAGAAAGAGACGTATGTGCAACCCTCTGGGAGGCCAGAAAAGAGCCTCAGATCTGCTGAGCTGGAACTACAAGGAAGCTGTAATCCATCAGACACGAATGTTGGACGCCTACCTTGTGTCTTCTGGAAGAACAGGAAACACTTTCAACTGCTGACTCATCTCTCTGGCCCTGTGAGCTACATATTGAGTTTAAGGGTAACCTGGGCTATGTAAGGCCCTGTCTCAAAAAATAAACAAATCAACAAAACCTCCAAAACAGAAATGTTAGCTTACCTGGGATGTTGCTGCAAGAAACCCTGCAGCAATTTCTTGGTCTCTGGTGCTCACAGAGGGAAGACCTGGACCCGCATGAAGAATGGGCAGTGCTGAGCAGAACACAAAAAAGGATCAGGGCTGTTGTCCACCAATTCAAAAGCACCTTACCCCAATACACACCATCTCAGAACTACAGACCACAAAGAATTACATCAGGGCCAGGCAGTGGTGGCCACATGCCTTTAATCCCAGTACTTGGGAGGCAGAGGAAGGTGGATCTCCCTGAGTTCGAGCCAGCCTGCTCCATAAAGCAGGTTCCAGAACAGTGTGGGCTACAGAGAGAATTTTTATCTCAATAATAATAATAATAACAATAATAATAATAATAATAAAACAAAAGAGAATTACTTCAGTACCACAATGACCTATAGCCAAGAGTCTGGGAGTCCCCTGCCCTTTTCTGGCTGAGAAGACTATCCCAACCCTGTCCCCTCAGAGTTAGTCACACTCTTGAGTCACTCATGAAAACAACTTTCTGAGACTCAGTAATAATGAAGCCTCATGTGGGTATGGCTTGTCTCCTCACTTAATAACTAACTCTTCCATACCATCAGCATAGTTCCTAGTGGTTCTAGAAGGGATATGAGGGGAAGAAAGAAGAAATGATAAGAGAACAAGATTCTAGATGTGTCCCATAAAACCAGTCAAGGTGTAAAAAAACCATTTTATCTGTTTCCTACTGGGGTAAAGGAAGCAGCCTGGAAGACTCAGTATTATACTTTACTAGTAACTACTTAGCCCAGTGCTGACCTTTCATCCTCATCACTGGCATCTTACCTTGCTCCTGGAAGGCCTGTGTCCCATCTCCAGGGCCCTGGCTCAGCTGTTCTGCAGTGCTTGGGCCCAGGCTTTGAACTCCTTCCCCCTGCAGCATCCCCCACTCAGGCTTGACTTCTACTGGCCCCAAGTGGATGCCTGATTGCCAAGATCCTCCACCAAGGGCTGTGACCAGCTGTTCTCCCTGGGCATGGCACGGAACCTAAGAAGAATGCACATACCAGTTAGAATGAGACCTGCTGGAGGTTGTTAGAAAAAGAGCTGAAATAAAACTGAAAAAGAAAGCAAGGCTAGTGGTGCAAATCAGCTAGTAGAGTGCTTGCCTTGCAAGCATGAAGCCCTGTAAGCCCTGAAGCCCTGAGTTCCATCCCCAGCACCACATAAACCCAGTATGATGGTCCAAGCTGTAATCCTAGCACCCAGTAGAGGGGGGAGCCCTCCACCCCTGCGTTCAAAACCAGCCTGGTCTAACTGGTCTAATCAGTGAATTACAGGCACACCGGGGCTACCCAGTAGACCCTGTTTTAAAAAAAGACTAGAAAGAAGAGCAGGAAAGGAGAGAGGAAGGGAGGAGGGGAGTTGCAAAAGAGAAAAAAAGAGAAAAGGTGGAAGAGGAAAGAAAGCTGTTGACTTCTTCCACATGAAGAAAGATAAATAAATGCTTCTAAAATGAACTAGCTAATGAGAAAGAGCGGCTCTACAAAAAGTGGAGCTTTGAAGTGACATTCTCATAGAAACAAGCCCTGCTCCCTTTTCTTCTCTTTCATAGATTTTAATAATGATAATCAACTTAACAGTTCTAGAGTCACCTATGAAACAAACCTCTGCACTTCTCTGGGAGGGATATGTGTCTAGATTTGGTTACCTGAGGTAGCATGCTCCAGCTTAATGCAGCCCCACTATCCCATGGGCTGAGGTCCTACACTGAATCAGAGGAGAAAGTGAGGGGCTGGAGAGAGCTCGGTAGCAAGGAGTACATACTGTTTTTGTAGAGGACCTATGTTTTGTTCCTAGTGCCCACACCAGGCAGCTCACAACCAGGTTGTAGCGCCAGGGGATCCAATGTCCTCTGTGGATACCCGAATATATGTGCACACTCTAACACACAGACACACATACACACAATAAAAAGAAGTAAATGTTTTAATCTTTAAAACAAAAGGAGAAAGTGAGCTGAGCAGCAGCATTCATCGCTGCTTCCTGAAGGATGTGCGTGGTCAGCTGTCTCATCGTCTCGCCACCACACTTTCCCAAAAAACTGTGAGACAAAATGTAAGCATCTCTCTCTGGTAACAGCCAGAGAGATGGTTCAGTGATTAAGAGTATTGGCTACTCTTCCAGAGGACCCTGGTTCAACTTGCAGCATCCACATGGCAGCTCACAAGTAGCTGTACCTCCAGTTCCAGGGGATCTGGACTCCAGAGACACTGCATGCACATGCTGCAGATATAATTGCAGGCAAAACACCCATACACAAAACAGAATAAAACAAAAATTTCAAAGTTATTTAAAATGTCTTTTCTTTGCATAGATATGTGTGGTTGGTATGTATGGTATGTATGTATGATATGTACGTGGGTACATGTGCATGCACATGCAGAGGACAATGGGTGACTTCAGTGTCTACCTTTATCACTGTGCATCTTATGTATTTAGGCAAAGTCTGTCATCTGATTTCTTGCTTGCTGATTTCACTGTCTACCTAGCCAGCTCACATGGCGGATGCTAACTCTACCTCCTGAGTGGATTACAGACTATCAAGCCTACCCAGCATTATGTATGTATGTGGGAGGTGGAAAACCAAACTCCAGTTCTCATTCGTTCACAGCAAATGCTCCATCCACTGAACTATCTCCCCAACCCCTAAAAAAAAATGTCTTTTAATATACCCCACTCTGCTTTCTAAAACTGCTTTTTGCAACAAAGTGAATCCACAAATCTGGTTTTGCCTGAGTGGAGGTACCGAAAGTTGAGTAAGAAATCTCAGAGTGACAGAGTGGGGTTGAGCCTAAATCCCAGTTGCCACTGGCAGAACCACTGCCACTAGCCTCTTCCCCAAGGGCATGCAAAGCTCACAGTGGACCTGGAATACAAGCTAAACTGAATTTGAAGCTCACCCAGGGGTCCCTGATGCCTAAACCATGGATATCTTCCTTAGAGATGGCTCTTAGAAAAAAAAACTTCTAAATATAATATATATATATATATATATATATATAGAGAGAGAGAGAGAGAGAGAGAGAGAGAGAGAGTTAGTTCATGTCATGTACTGAGTGCTGGTTCTCATCTTCCACCTTATGACAGGGACTCTTGCTCACCCCTGCTGAGGACGTCTGCCTAGCTGGACTGCAAACTTCTGGGGACTCCCCTTCCTTTGTCTACCATCTCACCACTGGGAGTACATGTGCACACTCCCTCACGTGACCTTTACACGGTCCTGGAGATCTGAACTTGGGTCCTCATGCTTGCAGAGCAAGTGCTTTACCCACTGAGCCATCTCTTCAACTCTGACTCTTGCTAAACAGCAGCCACTCTCTAGAAAGGCTGTTTGGGGACTAGGGGATGACAGAGCAGGTTCTAAGTCTCATCCATTCCCACTACTTCCTTAACCTCTCCACTTTTGATTCCCACACCAACCGCACAAGGCCTGGACACCCTCTTCTCACCCACCGCCTTGGCCTCCGGTGTGCTCTCCATCAGGTCCTCCACCATGGACACCAAAGCCTTGCCGCTGTCTGGGCTGTGCTCTCGGATCCAGGTGTAGAGCTCTCGGGGCAGGATGGTGAGGAACTGCTCCAGCACCAGCAGCTCCAGGATCTGCTCCTTGCTGTGCAGCTCTGGCTGCAGCCACCGCCGACAGAGCTCTTGGAGCTCCCTGAGGGCTTCCTGGGGACCAGCAGCCTCTTGGTAGCGGAACTGCCGAAACCTCAGCCGGAATGCCTCAGGACTAGAGTCCTCCCCTCCCCGGCCCCATGGCAGCTCCTTCTCCAGCTTCACCACTGGAGCACCCATCTGCTGCTGAGGATCTTCTGCCATCTCCAGGCGGTCTTTCAGCATCTTCAAGCTCCAGCAAGCCTGAGGATGACAACAGAGAGGGCCCTTCTGAGAACAGAAAACGCACACAGGAGGTCAGCCCATCCAGTTTTCTATTTGTTCTCAGGAAGCTGATACAGATCTTCAAATCCTATCAGCTGATCTGGGGCTTTGGTTGGTCAGGGTGGAGACAACAAAGCAGGCAAAATCAAGACCAAGACAAACTTTGAGGTCAACACCAACAAATCACTAGTGGCCTGACGGTGACGGTGCTTTCGGTCTAAAGACAATGCTGCACAGGCCATTGCCACTGCTCTTGATTGCCCGTGTAACTAGATGGTAAAGCCCTGCTGCTAAAGACACAATACGTTCTGGTTGCAGCACCTGGAGAAATCAAGCTGGAACTGACCTGGAACTTTCCTCCCCATTAACTAGTTTTCATAGTGCTGAAAGGTGCTATTCAGGCCCCTGGAGGAGAAAAGTCATTGCCGGTAGTACATAGCAGGGAAGCCCGCAGGCTCTAACAAGGAATGACCTGCCAGACAAGGTATGTCCACTGCTGTTAATAGTGGCTTGAAGGTAACCAACTACTTTCCGAATGGATTTGTGGCTTGCTCCACAAGAAGGGAATTCATGCCTGGTACTGTAAACCTGGTCAAAAACCCATAGCCAGGGAGACTGGGCCTAAGGGAGAACCTACAACTATGGTTTTGCTAAACAGACATGGCATCAAACCACCTTCTAAATATTTATGTTTATACCCACAGATTGGCTACTCTCGGCCTTAGTCACGGAAGCCTCTTTCTGCTTACAGTTTGCACAGACACTTATAAATGGCCTAAGCTGGGTGTTCATCCCGATGTGGGACAACTATGTCAACACCCCTACACAGCCAAGGCTCAGGGAACACAGCAGAAGAGAGGACAGAAGAACTTAAGAGCCAGAGGGTGGGAAAGAGTACTGTGACGTGCTGTCTTTTGGATGTGACACAGCCACTGCACTCATGAACTTATTGCCACACACGGCTTATATACCTGCACAGGACTAAGCCAGTAAAATCAGTCAGCATCCCAACAAAAAAGAAGAGGATATGAAAAGGGGTGTTTGGCTGTCCTGGGTGGAGTGGGGAGGAGGGGAGTTGGGTAGCAATAGTCAAGACCTGCTGTATGCATGGACAAAAGTGTCAAGAGAATAAGTAAAAGAGGAGACACAGAAAGAATATGCAAGCAGAATATAGAACCGTCTCCCTCCAAAAACATGGAAGGTTTAAAAAGATGAAAGAATGGGCTGGAGAGGCAGCCCGGTGATTAAGAGCACCCACTGCTCTTGCAGAGGACCCAGGTTCCGTTCCCAACACCCAGACGGTGGCTCATAACCTGCTGTAACTCCAGTTCCGGAAAATCTGCTGTGTCTTCTGGACACTGTGGGCACCTGGCACACACGCGGAGAGGCGTGGTATATAAACATGAGGGGAAAAGAAAAAAAAAAACCCACCCACCATCTTTAATCTCTCAGCATTTGGATGAAGAGGCAGATGTTCTTTGTGAGTTAGAGGCCATCCTGGTCTAATAGTGAGTTCCAGGACAGCCAGAGCTCCAGAGTGCACAGTGAGCACGTCTCGCGAAAAGAAAGATTAACAGCCATGGCAGTAGTTGCCTGTAATCCCGGAACCTGGTTTAGGCTGGCAGACGGTGAGTTAGTTCTAGGGCAATGTGGTTACACAGCTGGAAGAAAGCAAGAGGAGAACGGGAGAACGGGTGGGAAGCGAACATTACACCTGAGGAAAAAAGAGGCAGCCAAGCAGTCCGTAAAATGAGTCTTGTTTACTTCCGGGCGGGCAGGCTAGAGACAGGCCCCTGCCCCAAAGCACAAAAGCGCTCAGACTGTTGGCGCAACCAGCAGGCGAGAGGCCACGACCTTCGGCGACAGATTCTACTGGCTGTTCGTGTTTTTCTCCACCCGCCCCTTAAACCGACCCCTCATTTTCTGCCTACAGTACTCGTCTCTCTGCCACATCGAGCTTTCTCGAACGAGCCAGCTATTGCCTAGCTCGTTCCGCGGGCGCCCTGCGGGCAACAGGCCTCTCGTGGGTCCTTCCTCGCAGGCCTCTGGCAGACAGAAGGTGCCGCGTGGCTCTTCTTCCAACGACTGCCCGGCATCCGCGTCTACATCGCCCCACTTCTTAGAGGCGCAGGGTCGAGGTCTTCCCGCGGAGCGTGGGCTCCCTGCATTAGGCTCTCTCCGCCTGGCCCGGCCTCCGCCCGGTTCTTACCTGGGACCACGGCTGTGCGTGGAGAGGCGACCTTCCGGGCCGCAGCTGCCCTGCCGAGCTGCAACCCGCTCCGTGCCCGATCCGTCCCGAGCCGGCCGCGGCCTTGACTGCCTGCGCGCTCAGCACCTGCCCGGGCCAGCGCGGACCGGAAGTGAGTGGCGGATGCTGTCAGGCAGGTGCCCCAATGAAAGGGCCCGCGTCCGGTTCCTCTCTAGGACGCTCGGAGGTCTCAGAAGGAGGCGTATCTCTATGGTGGGTCATGACTAGCGCGGGCTCCCCATCTATTTCCTGGCTCTACCGCACTTCCGTACATTTATTTTTTTAATGAATCTCTACAACAAAGGAGCTTTTCTGCTCTAGGCTAGTCTATAGGTATAAACAGAAATATTTTAACATTTTACGTCTATTTAGTCAGGTCTCACCTTCCTCTTTGTAGTTCCCGGAATAGAACTCAGACTACCGGGCTTGGGGCCAAGCTCCTTGACCCACTGAGTCACCTCAGTGATCCTGAACATAAATAATTTAGAAGGCTATTGACATATGTTCCTTTAGGAAAGATGATGGTTACTTTTAACTGTCACTTTTGACAATCTAGCATCACCCAGCAAAGTCTCAACGAGGAGTTAGACAATCCCTCCCTGTCAGGTTGGCCTGTGGGCATGATGTGGAAAGACACAGACTACTGTGGGTGGCACCATTTCCTGGGTTTGGGTCTTAGGCTGTGAAAGAATGAAGAAAGGGAGCTGGGTGGTAAGCACGCATACATTAACTAATATCTTCCTGCTCTAGACTGTGGGTGGAATGTGACCACCTGCTTCAAGTTCATGCTGCCTCTTTTCCCTACAATGAGGGCTGTAACCTGGAATTGTAAGCCAAAATAAACACGATCTACCCAAAGCTGTTTTTGCTTTACAAAACAGTTTCTATGTAGCCCTGGCTGTTAAGGAACTCACTCTGTAGGCCAGGCTTGCCTCAAACTCACAGACATCTGCCTGCCTCTGTCTCCGGTGCTAGGATTAAATGCTACCACTACCATGCCTGGCTAATGACCGTATGTTTGGTGTTTTTTTTTTTTTTTTTTTTTTTTTTTGAGGCAGGGCTTCTCTGTGTCACAGCCCTGGCTGTCCTGGAATTCTCTCATTCTCTGTAGATCAGGTTGGCCTCAAATTCTCAGAGGTCCATCTGCCTCTGCCTTCAAAGAGCTGGGATCGGATTAACAGCATGCACCACCACCACCTGCGTGGTTTAATATTTTAACTATAACAGAATTACTAAAAAAGACAAGTACATGGATTCTCTTGGAAAAGAAAGATAAAACTTGTGATAAGGAGGTTGTCATATAGCAGATGACATTTCAGTTGGGATTAGTTTGACATGAGGCAGGCCAGACATGGTGGTATACATCTTTAATATTATCAATCAAGAGGCAGAGACAGGCAGATCTCTGTGATCTCAGCTTAGGACCAAACTACTACTCTGCAAAGTATCAAAAATTAAGTAAGTAAACAAGAAATAAATAATAAGATGGAAAGAGACCAGTGCCTGGAAAGTCATCAATATTTGAAGGAAATGGTTATGTTAGAATATTGCTGATGTACTTCATGTGTCCCAAACTCATCAATGGAAGAGAGAAGCCTTAGCATGGTGGTGCAGGCCTGTAATCCCAATCAGCTCAGGCTGCCCTGAGCTATACAGGAAAATAAGATCCAGCCTGTGCTACATAGTGAGTTTGTAATCCCAATCAGCTCAGGCTGCCCTGAGCTATACAGTAAAATAAGATCCAGCTTGTGCTACATAGTGAGTTTGTAATCCCAATCAGCTCAGGCTGCCCTGAGCTATACAGGAAAATAAGATCCAGACCTGTGCTACATAGTGAGTCTGTAATCCCAATCAGCTCAGGCTGCCCTGAGCTATACAGGAAAATAAGATCCAGCCTGTGCTACATAGTGAGTTTGTAATCCCAATCAGCTCAGGCTGCCCTGAGCTATATAGGAAAATAAGATCCAGCCTGTGCTACATAGTGAGTTTGTAATCCCAATCAATCAGCTCAGGCTGCCCTGAGCTATACAGGAAAATAAGATCCAGCCTGTGCTACATAGTGAGTTTGTAATCCCAATCAGCTCAGGCTGCCCTGAGCTATACAGTAAAATAAGATCCAGCCTGTGCTACATAGTGAGTTTGAGGCCAATTTGGATTGCATATAATGAGAGGAAGAGAGATAGGTGATAGACAGACAGACAGACAGACAGGCAGACAGGCAGACAGGCAGACAGGCAGAATCCACTCACTCAGGAGCCCTCTGACTTCAAGACAGGATGAGGCAGTGCTGACATACTGGTAGTTGGCCTGTTTGTCTCTCCAAAGGCCCAGGTTCCAGGCTAGCCAGGGCTACAAAGCAAGACTCTTGTCACAAAAGCAATAAAAATTATGTAAAAACTTATAAAAAATAGGTTAAAAAGCAAAAATAAAACCAAAATCTCCTAGTAAAATTTTGCTACATGTGGTTGGTTGAGATGACTTAGTGATTAAAGGTGCCTGCCACTAGGCCTGACAACCTGAGGTCAATTTCTGGGACCCATTTGGAGGAAAGAGACAACCAAACTCTCACAAGTTGTTCTCTGGCCTCTACGCTTGCACCATGGCACACCAGTATGTGTGTATGTATGTGAGTAAATAAGGTGTATTTTTAAATTAAAAACAAATTTTGCTTCATGTGCAAATGTAACTACTCACCTCTGTCATAGTTATGATAAAATAGCTCCACCCATGGAAAATAAGGACTCCATTAAGTCAAAAGTATACTGCACCCCACAGGAACTTATCACCCTTATTTAATTTTCATAGTTAATAAAAGAAGTGAAAGAGGCTGGGCGGTGCTTTTAATACCAGAACTTGGGAGGCAGAGGCAGACGAATCTTTGTGAGAGGCCAACCTGGTCCAAAAGCAAGTTCCAGGACAGCCATATATGTGTGTGTGTGTGTGTGTGTGTGTGTGTGTGTGTATGTGTGTCACAAAAAAACAAACAAAACAACAAGAAGAGGAAGGAGAAAAAATGAGAGAGATTTGGGGTAGGGGGAATGCAGAGCTAAATATGGGAACAAAGAGATTTTAGTTGCTTCTTCTTCACATATTCAGACCATAATAAAAATTAGTCTTAGAGGGCTGGAGAGACAGGTCAGCAGTTAGGAGCCTGGCTGCTATTGCACAGGACTTAGGTTCAATTCTCAACACCAACATGGTGGCTCACAATCCCCTGTAATTTTAGCACCAGAGGGAACCCATCACCCTTTCTGATCTCCTCAGGCACTGTACTCATACGCACAAACCCACACATATCCAGGCAATATAATTCAATATATACATACATATACATATAAATACAATATAATTAAAAATCAAAGTAAAGAAAAATGTAAAATATTAATCAAAAGTAAAAATAAAACCTTAAAAATGAGTCTGAGGCTGGGAGTGTAGCTCAGTTGATAGAGTGCTTGCCTGGTGTGCACTCAAAGCTTGGGTTCCATACCTAGCACCAAATAAATTGGACATGGTAGAAAACACTTTTAATCTCAGAACTCAAGAGGTAGACGCAGGAAGATGATAAATTCAAGGCCATCCTCAGTTACATAGTAGGTTTGAAGCCGGTCTGGGCTATGTGACAACTATTTTTTTAAATATTTATTTACTTATTATGTATACAAATCTGTCTACATGTATGCCTGTAGAATAGGGCACCCGACCTCATTACAGATGGTTGCTAGGAATTGAACTCAGGACTTTTGGAAGAGCAGGCAATGCTCTTAACCGCTGAACCATCTCTCCAGCCCCCTGTGACAACTATTTTAAGAATTAGTTTGGACTTACAGTTAAGAGCACTGACTACTCTTCTGAAGGGCCCAGGGTTCAATTCCCAGCACCCAATGGCAGCTCACAACTGTAAATCCAGTTTGAGGATATCCAACACCTTTGAACAGACACCTACAGGCAAAACACCAATGAAGATAAAACAAAAATAAATCATTAAAATGTTAGTTGCTGGGAGGTGGTGGCACACACCTTTGGTCCCAGCAGTTAAGAGGCAGAGGCCAGTCTTGTCTACAGAGCAAGTTCCAGGTCAATTGAGGTGATGTGGAGAAACCCTACCTCAAAAACAAACAACACAAACAAACAAACAAAAGCAAATCAAAGTGAAGCAAACAAACAAAAAGGTATCAGAGAAGACCTAGACGTTTCCAAATCTCCGTTTGGGTAAAGTCAGTGTTCCTCAACCAGGGCATCTTAAGCATTCTAGATAGCTTGTTAACAGGTAACTGTTAACAACCAAGAGGACACCTGACCCTGATGCTATAGCAACTAGTAGGTAGAAAGAAGCAGGGATGATATTACTGATACTTCAAGATACATCAAAGATTATCCATCCCTGCTGGTTATAGTGGCTCAAGCACTTGAGAGGCAGAGGCCAGTGGATCTCTGTGAGTTTGTGGCCAGCCTGCTTTATATAGTGTGGGCCTCCCTAAAATAAATAAGCAAGCAAGCAAGCAAGCAAGAAAGAAAGAAAGAAAGAAAGAAAGAAAGCATGGTGGTGCACCCAACTGCGATCCCAGCACTCAGAGGAAGGAAACAGACAGGTAAGAAATGCACTCTTGGATGCGCAGCAAGTTTAAGGGTAGCGTGGGCTACATAAACTAAAACACAAAATGAACTAACACAATGAAATAAAGAGATTCAACTTCCTTCACTGTCTTCCAAGTTCAATATATTTGTGTTACCTCTTAAGTGTGCCCATGCCTGAACACATTATCTGTGGAGGACCACCCACAGCTGGTTGGGGCCAAAGTCTATCCACATCCTGTTCTCTAGTTGGGGATCTCTTCTTGGCTGGGCTGTGCCTGTGCATGTGGGTACTGTGGGTGGCATCTGGATGCTGGGAGCTCCAGCCTCCCGGAGCAGAACCCTTCTTTAGTCTTGCGTAGAGCACTACTGATGCAGAAGGAAAATTTGTGCCTATGACTGTTCCCATCTCACCAACATGCCTGATATGATTAGCCTCCTCTTGGCTTCCTGTTTTCCTGCCATACCAAGAGAGTGGAGAAAACGCTCTGAAGGGTCTGGCAAGATGATTCTGCAGATA